TTTTTTTTTCTTGGATTTAAGAAATATTTACGATCAATGTCGATTATAATGGAATTTCTATTAAATATATATGAACATAAATTTTTCTAAAATGAAAAGAAAAAAAAGAGGGATTTCTATTAATTATTGCTTTATTAAAATAAAGTCAAATTTAAGTCATGTAATCCATTAATTTTCTTTTTATTTATGTAAAAATTAAAATATACAAAAATAATGGAATACGCGTGATATAAAATATCCAAACTATAATACACATTATATTCAAAGAATAAAGCAAATATCCACTTAAATTCCATTTTTCAATCGTATTCATAAAAATTTTTCAATTTACGCGATTTACTTATTCGCAATCTAATTAACTTGTTTATTCACGTAAATTCCAGATAAATCTCTGCTGCGAAATCAATTTAACAATTTATTTTCTTGCCCAACTTCCTAGAAGTGTCTAATAATAAAATAAATGTGTCTGTGAAAATCATTTCAACGGAAAAAACAAATAGATTTAAAAAAATATTACGCATCTCGATAAAGTTTATCGGTTCGTGGCGAAGAATTCAACCAATTGATCGTTTAATCGCTCGTTCCATAATGGAGTATGATCTCTATCTATTTAACGACGACTGACGTATCGTAATCTGATTTTCAGGCGAACGAGAAAAAGAGAGAGAGAGAGATCGCTTCAAATCTCTGCCTCCGCTGTTCCTATCCGTTTCTACGACTTCCCTTCCAGCCGTCCAGTTCCCAGAGGTAGTCAGGGAAAAATCGACGATCCATTTGGCCCTAGCCGGCGGAATCGGTCCCACGGGCGAGCCGATACGCCAATCATTTCGTTCCGCAGCGTCACCGTCAGCTGCCTCCCTCGATGCTCCGCGTCAATTCTGGATACCGGTTGATTTACTCCGCCATAGTAGATACCCCCTGATTCCCTTAACGCGGTCACAGAGGATGGAGCAAGTTTCCTCCTTCTCTCGAACGATGACGTCGCTTGGATCATTCCCGTGTAACGTGATTGATAAGCGGCCAGCCCTGATAAACACGAGCGTTGAACGTGCAACCTGTCACGATAAATCAAAAATGTTTTCGAGAGCCGGCTTTATTATAGCCAGACTGGT